GGTGCAGCCGATGTGAACTCCAAACGCAACGGACGATCCTTGAGAAAGCTCTTAAAGTCCTCTGCACTCAATCCTTCCAAGCTGACCAAATCAGTTTTGCCAACACGAAGAAGCACATCCCCTTCATGAACTCCTTGTTGTGATCCGAATTCTCCGCTTGCGACTGACTTCACACGAAGCTGGCCTGGTGGCATTCCATTGAAGGTAATCCCAAGTTTCGCAACGCTAGAATCAGCATAGGCTAAATAAGGGTCCTTGTTGCTTTCGAACACCATCTGTACAGGCCTTGCCTTCAGGAAGGCTTTGAAAGCGTCTCCAGTCAAATCGTCAAGGGACTGTAGGTTTTCATTCCCAACCTGTAGCAAAACATCATCCTCCTCGATTCCTCGAATGTCCCCACAGGACCCTTCCGCAATGCTTTTCACACTGAGCGGACCTGGAGGCAGCCCGTTGAATTGAATGCCAAGCTTTTCCGTCTCATCTTTTCGGAACACGGACATGATACTTCCTCATCACTTCCCATACAAGCTACAACTACAGCTGAAGTGAAAAGTCTCGTAGGTCTCATCTAATCTGTGGGGCTAGTAGTAAGGCCAGGAGCCCCTAGTAGCGTCCTTGCTCCTAGTAGTAAGGGTGAAGCACCCCCTTTGCAATCTTTTTCTTTGTAGAGTTATCTGTAGAAGTGTGGACGACTCTCAGCATACTGGTACCTGGTAGCGTATGCTGTAAGACTCTCTGCTTAAAGCCCTGAAAGCCAGGAAAGGACAGGCTTGTCAAAGGGTCTATGAAAAAGGTCTCATTTGACACTCGTCACGACCGTTACGACCACAACACTTGTTTTCACCGTCCACGACCGTAGTCCACTTGCTTGGCTACCTGGCACGGTCGACACACCGGAGGGGCGCAAAGGGAATCGCAGGATCTCCACACCTCACAGCGATGCATGTGCTCGTCCAAGTAGTGCTGCAGGATGACGATGGCATGGGAACCTGACACAAAATGGGCGAAATCTGCAATCTGCAAGCATACATGGAAAATTCACGGAAATTGGATCACGAATGTAGTCTGGATCCGCCCGTTTTCCGTAAATCAATGACTACAATGATGGGCCTAGGAGTGTTGTGCCGCCCAACGAAGCACGAATGACATCTGCGCCAGATGACAGAGCGACCTGAAGGCACGGAGTTTCAACGTTGAAGAAAAAGGAGATGTCCGAGCAAAACGGAACGACCTAAGGAAGTATCAGCGTCAGTGTGTGTGTGTAGTGATGGACGATCACAAATGCTCAATGCGAGTCAACGTGGAACCGCCAAACCATTACAGTACATAGAGCACTGTGGACTTGAATCCCAAACCATCTCCACAACTTTCCCTCCCTTGGCACTCTAATCCGATCTGCAATACCAGATTCCAAAGTTTCCCCCAAATTTCCAGCACCTAAGCCTTTTGAGCCTGTCCTCCATAGCCCCGCGCAGCCCCGCCTTCTCATATTTTTCCATGTCTTCGCCCGTGAAGCCACGGTGATCGCCCACCAGCACCACAAGACCTTGAACAGCACCGCCCCTGCCAGACGTGCCACGCAAAACGCAGCTGCAGCCGTGCCATGCACCAACACTACAGCGTCGGAGATTTATATAGAAATAATAGATAAATAAATATCTATATATAACTATGTATATATATATATATATAAAGATTCCCTCGGTTTCTCCATCTTTTCTACCGCAATGCAAGACCAAAGTGGTTAAGAAAAGTTAAGCAGAACAAATTCAAATGCACCCATTGAGGCTCCTTTCCCTCCAGACCGGAAGTGCGAGCCGAGAATCTAGGGTGGTCCGGGGCCCCGCCAGACTGAACATCCAGGCCACCACCCAGTCTGTCCGATCAGTCCCCTTGGTCTTCTTTGTTTTTCCGCCGGCGGATTTGAATTCAACAAATTCTCACTTGGCGCGTTTCCGGTTCTTCCTCTTTCCATATCTCCCTCCCTTAGGGTGTGGCTCAAGAGTTTGTAGACGGGATCGTAAGGATTGCCTAAACTGACGCTGGTATGCCTGAGCTGTTCCATCAAAAGCAAATCAGTCTTAGTTCAACCAAAACAGCGAAGCCTTCATTGACATATATATACAGTCTTGCTGGAAGCCCACCTCAGGAGACGGTCCAGGGACCCGCGCCGCCCGAAATACAGGGTGGCCCCGCCACGTCGAAGGCTACATGGCCGAAAACCACGTCGCTCAAGCTGACATGCTAGAAGGCAATCATTGAAAGTCTTCCTCCAAGAATGAGCTGCCCCACATAAAGGCGGTGGGGCCTTGGGGGTATTGAGCCACTGCGCCGGCCCGTTTTCCACCCATCACGAGGCCGAGGGATATCACAGCTGGGCTGCGAGGCCCCGCCTTGACGACGTGTGCCTTTTGTATGCCCAGTAACTCTCCTTCGCGAAGGAGCCCATGGAAACCAAGGAGCAGCGACCATGCGAACAAGGGCCGGTCGCTGAAGAGGCTATACCCTGCCATTACATGTAGCGCATCTAGAGGGAGCGGCGGCGCCCGATTGGGCGGTAAGTCTTCAACAGTCTCCACGCACTGGGTAGATGTCCTCGTAGGAAAGGATGACAATCTTGAACCAGCGACTGAGTCACAAGCAATAGTGCGTTCTAGTCTTGCTCCGAACTGTTGCGAAGTTGGTCCAAGCCGTCTTCCCCGCGCTTGTCGTGTAGCCTTACTCCTACCTTCAAGGCGCGCCGACGCTCTTCTCACCATTTCTTCTTCACAGGCCGCCTTGACGGCCTATCGGCTTGGTTTTGTGAAGTATGGGCATGCGCCCATACTCCGTGGTGCCCCGCATCTTTCGGCTGCTGCCTCAACCTCTGGCCAAGGAATGCAAGCACGCTAAACTGTCAACCATGTGGACCATCTTGGACTGGAAGGCCCGCTTCTTGATTATGCGCCGTCGAATACTAGTCAGGACCGCCCTCACCTCCAGGACGTTGCATCACTGTTCGCCGTCTCCACGTTAATTTTGCTGGCAGGCTCGCGCGAAGTCTGTGGTCTCAGACTTTCCTCAGAGGGCGCCTGGATGATGATGTCCCCGTTCTTGAGGCTCACCAGGTTTAGGAGCTTTCGCGCAAGATAGGAGGGTGGTAAAGAAGCCCAGGAATTCGCGCGAAGAGCCTGACCGCCTCTTGTGGGGTGAGCGACGGTAATCCCGGCTGCGCGCCTAGTTCAGAAATGAGCCGTGCGACAACTGTGACATCAATGAATTGCTAATTGAGTGTCTTCCGTTTGCCCTCATCCTGAGCACTCCCCTGAAGCTGCTTTGAGGTAGCTCTTCTCTTCCACTTCTGCTGTCAACTCATCTTGCGAAACTCTGAACCAGCCAATCCTTCCCAAGCCCCAATCGAGACACCTGGCCGCGCCCTGACCTGGCCTTAGCTCCCAAGCGCACCAAGAAAGTCGCCTGGCCAATGACACGCCGCATGCGTCAACGCAGCAGCAGGGCCTATCAGCAAAGGATTCCGACATCACCCTATATCACCCTCCTGTCCTGTGCATGAATGCTAGACGCGCTCTCTGCTAAGTACCAACTTACGCCCTTGGGAACTTCTCCTTCACCAGCCCGCAGATGCGATCGACGTGATCTCTGAGCGCCCCCCGACGGTCGGAATTGAGTCCACTAAAACCCTCTGGCAAGGAGGGCCAGCGCCCAACAACACAAGGGACGCTAGCAAAAACTCACATCCCCATCTTCGGACCTCCTCCTCTGTAACTGCCTCAACTCCCCCTTCCACAAACAAGGTAGAAGGGAATTTGCTCTCCAGCGCTCGATTCGCTTCCTTTCGGGCCTCGGCGCTGATGCCCCGCAATGGCCAACCCACATGCGTCTGCCGCCTCTGTGAGATCTCCCCGATTGAAGCCGTCAGACGCTAAGCTGCTAAGCGAAAATCCAGCTTGGCAAGCGGTCAAACATAGGAACCTATAGCCACCTCCATCTTCACCCCTTCATGGATTGGCAGCTTGATGACTGGTGAGCGGTGGATATCCCCTGAACGATTCGATGAATTGCCAGATACTTATAGACCCAGATACTTATAGACCTTGCAAGGCTTGGGGTACGCAATAATCCCTTTCAATGATTGCACCCTGCGCCTCTATACTTGGGCTCGCGAGACGGCTTTCTTTGGACGTTGGGGTACTCCCCCCAAACTTCATATTCCGCCCTCAGGGCCACGGCGCCTGGGCTACTTAACTTGCGAATGGACGATCTCTCCTGTTCCAGTCAAAGAACTCCTCCGACCCTCTGTGAGGCCAACCTTGTGATGTTGCAGTGGACATGTTGGGCAAGGCTGACGGAAGCGCGTTGATGCAGGGTCCGGGATCCATGATCAGCCTATGTACCGGCGCACCTTCTGCAAGCTCGTCCTTCTTGACTCCAAAGAGTTCGGGAGAAGCCGACCGTCAATGTGATGGATCTTTCGCTCAGGCAATCTGGTACAAACGCAACTTTGAACGAGGCCTGGACAAACATCTCGCCAATTTTGGTGCCTCTTCATCCCCAGCTGCGTCTCCCCGGGAAGGAGGTATTCTTCAAAAGTGTTCAACATCGCTTGCGTCCTAATTCACACAAGTCCTCCATCCGGGCGGAGGCGATCTCTCAAACCGTTGCTGGCGGTGCCAAGTTGGCCCAGTGGACTGAGCGCAATGGTCTTCAATTGGAAAACTCTGCCACGAAGTCTGCTCCAAACGCTCACACTTCAGCCTCTCTAGCTAAATATCTTACAGCCTCAACCTGTAAGGATGTACAATGAAAACTGTTTTCAGCCGGAACCCCATAGAACAAATTCAGCGCCGCGCAAATCCCCCAAACGACACCGACAACACTCATCCGATAACACTCATGTCCAGGTCCGTCATGTCCCGCAGGTGTGACAGGTGGTGGGCAATGGAAACACATCGCCCTTGGGCTGGGTCTTGCATTGCAGCTCCAATCCAATGATGTCACATGCATGAACCAACTTGTTAACTTGTCAATACAAACCCATCCCCTGCAACCGACGGCTTCATGCATTCTTTTTCAGCTGACGAGGTCAGGTCTCACCAACTAACTGAGGTCTGCGGGCATTCGGCCGGATTACCCAGCCATCCATCCGCGCCAGGCTTCATTCCGTCATCGTGGACGTGACTTCCAGGCAGCGAAGCCTGGAGAAGTCGTTGGCTCCCCTTCAAATGGAGCGCTCTGGATTTGGGGCGCCAGGCCCCACTGTACCTGCTTGCCATAGCCTCACTCCTCATTTCTTTCGCTTGCTCTTCTCCTTGCCCTTCTTTCCCTTTCCTCTCAAGTCCTTGCCTTTTCACGGTCTTTGTGGCCACAGTCGCGCCACTGCCACTGGTCTCCTTTGCCCCGATTCTTCTCCGCCTCGTTGCGAGTGCGCTGCTCCTCCTTCTGCTCTCGGATCGCCTCCTCGGCTTCTTCCCGTGAACTTACAACTGGGTGCTCCGGTGGGAGAACTTCTATACTCTCTGCGCCGCTTGCCACACCGCCTTGTGACACAAGTTCCACTGACTTCAGTCGTTGAACCAATGTGCCCACGCGTTCGGCCAGCCGGCCTTGCAGAGCCAAGTCTATCGACCAGCGTAGCGTCAGGCGATTGATTGGCGGAAATACGTTCCTGATTCCAAACCCCACCAGTGGCGGTGAGGAGCGTAGATGGTAGATTGCGTCTCACCATGGCCAAGGCCGACAACACACCTGGAGCTCGTCGAGCTAGTCATCGAATTTTCCGCTGTTTTTTGAACACCTGCGCTGGCGCTTTATGGGCTGATGGCGCTGCATGGAGCGACGTCCCCTCGGACGAAGACTCCTTCTTTTCTTCTTCCTTTTTTGACCTTCTTCTGAGCTTTCGAGGCAAAGCGGCGCCGATATCGTGGCCACTAGACCCGTGGCCCCGAAAGCCGCGCTCAGCTCTTTGCGAGCCCCAGCCTTCAGATCTATCTTCTCCTTGCCTCGGCCAGCGCTTCTTCCCTTTCCAATTGTCTCTCTTGCCGACGGCCTTCTCGGCCTTCTCTTTGCTCCCTTTCTCCACGATCAGGAGACCACTCGCGCGACCTTCTTCTCCTCTTGGCTACTCCTCCACAAGGTTTCCCCTAATCTCTTCTGGATCAGGGTTGCATGGATGAAGTCCTTTCCATCGAGCTTGTCTAGGCATTCGCGCCCACATGTGGATTGGAACCTTCTGCTCCACGTGGCCTGATGCCCATCGCAACAGGCTCTCTTCGCTTGTTCCTTGTGAGGTTTGACTTCGAGCTCCACGTCTCGTTGACATCGAGCGTGGCAGTTTTCCACAAGCCCCGCCAACATGCAGAGTACATCCCTTCGACGCTGACTGGCCTTTGTTCTCACCAAAGTACCTTGGGTTCAGCTTCCACACGCGAATGGGTCCCTGCCACGCGCGGCCAGCTGCTCGAGCAATGTTCTCTTCCTCGCAGATCTCTCTTCGAGGTTCTTCTGACCTGGTCTCCCTCGAACCCTTTCTGCGTCTCCTCCTTGACTTGGATCTGGTCTTACTTTCTCTCTTCTTGTGATCTCGGCTCTTTCTCCTACTCCTCTTTGATCTTCTCTGTTTCTCCTTGTGATGGATTCGTGATGAGCTCGGACACCTCCCTTCTTTCTCAACTTCAAGGAATCCTGACTCCCCGGTAGGATGGGCCGTGAAGTCTTTCTTCTTCCTTCTTTACTCTCACCCAACTCTTGTCAGGCTTGGCTTCTGACTCTCCGTCTCCCTGTGTCTCAGGAGGGAGCTGCGCTGGGACCACGTTCTTTGACTCGTTGGGAGCATCAGTCGAGGCCGGGCCCTTTTTGCTTTGGCTGTGGCCAATTCCTCGGCTTTCTTCTGGCAGGCGAACTCCGCAAACTTCTCTCCTTCCTCTTGTAGCACGCCTGTCCAAATGCGGAGACAGTTCACCGCCCAAGCTCCAAGACCAACAGGTAGATCTTCAAGAACACTCCAAAAGCGGTTTCTGGAGCAACAGAAAAAGCAAAGCAAATCGGTCTCCCGGAAGTCAGGAGGCCACAATCTCTGCAATGGCTCATTCCCTGCTCGAGCCAAACTCTATGAGTAAAAAGGTCAACGAAACCGGTCGTCATAATTTCCGGGGGCGTTCATCCATATTCATGAATATACGTTCATAGTATTACATAATTGTTTCTTGTGTTGGAATCATAGCTTCCCCAACTTGGTTGGCGCGATTCTGCATCGAAGCCGGCTCGCCGCTCGACCCTGCATTCCCTGAAAAAAATACATATCACAAACTGGAGGGAATGTTCATTCTGTATGGGGTTCCCTCCGGACGATCTTGGAGGCCGTTTTGTGGTCGACATGCCTTGCCTTCGGACTTGCTTCAGCACCTCCGCGATGGGCTCACCATCCGCATCCAGAAGCAGCATTACCTTGGTGGCAAATCATGCCACATCCCGTTCCACGTTCCACGCCAAAACCGTTCACCAGAACAAATAGCAAATGGTGCCCAGGAACCACTCGTCCTGGACTCTCGTCTGCTTTCCGCAAGGCCGCCTGTGCAAAATTTAGCCTACCATGGAACGACGTCTTTCCTTTCGTTGCCATCATTTTTCAACAATGACGACGGCGACGACGACGACAAGTGTGCTTCTGCTTCTCTTCCTTGCGCAGATTCTGCATCCAACACGACTCAACTAGCACCAGGGCATTAGCATCATCAAGTGGGAAGTGCAAACAAGGAGACACCACACTTAGATTGTTGCTCGCAAGAGCTAGGATCAGTATGAAGTTCCACTTTACAGGCATTAGACCTTGACTGGAAAAGAGTGCAAACAGAAAGGCGGCAAGTCCGAGAATTTGAAGATATTGAACAGTTTTGTTCAAACCTGGGTGAAACGTGATGAGTCGGTGTTAAAATTGGCAGGTACACAGTCAGACGTCTCTGACTGCTTCCCATGTCATGACATCACTAGCTTCGTTGGCCGTCGGCAGCGTCGTGATGTCATGCGCTGGCCCCCTGCTGCGTTGAA